TTTATCGATAACTCTTGTATAATAAATCTTAGAATTTAGTTTCCTATTTTAAGTTCAGTGATTGTGAGATTATCACGTTAAGATATGATGCGTAAATCTGTTGTGTTACTCAAAATTGGGAGCACTGCATTACATTACAGATGGCCTTTTGCCTTCTTAGAATTTTCCCCGGCTGCCATAGATATAATAATTTTGAATTTGATACATGTTTATAAACCAAGAAGTGTTAATCAAACTTGTTAATTTTGCCGAATTTCGTCTTTGTATGAATAGGATGGGGACATAGTTTTGAAAAAAGCGTCCGAGTATGGGGCGGTGGAGATATGGATGAACGAGCGTGTCCGGAGGGCATGCGCAAATAGCTGTGCCGATTTTATTTATGGATTTCTTGAGGTTTGCTATAGGAAACTGATTCCGCTGTTATCTTACAGTTAGATTTCCCATTATTTTGTAGCTCGTTAATTTATAATTTAAATTTATTTCAGAGTTCTGCAAAGAAAGGAGCCGAGTATTGGCTCATATGGAAGTTCGAAGGCGAAGCCACACTAGCTGATTTATTACAGAGCAAAGAATTTCCTTACAATGTTAGTACTTTCATGTATTTCATATAAATTATAAATTTATAATCCAAACTGCAATTTCTTCCATCTCAAAATAATCATCATTTTAGAAGTTTCAAATATATGACATTATATGAAAAAGTGATTGATCTACCTTTTTGTAAGTTTAGTTATTGTATTTTTTGCATAATATCATATTATGTTTAGAACAAATGAAAAAAGGTTTCGGAGTTCGAGGCCGAAAATGACGTGAACACTTAATACGGCACATATTCTTGTATGAGAACACTAGGATAAAATGGCACTTACTTTTGGACCAAAAAACTTGCTAAGGTTAATCAGCTCATCATATATAGTAAACTTAGTTTCATTCTCTAAGTGCAGGATAAGTTTTTTAAATGGAAAATAAACAACTTGATGTTTGCAATCATCAGGTAGAGGCAATGATTCTTGGAGAGGTACAGGACCTGCCAAAGGGGATAGAGAGAGAAAATAGAATCATACAGACAGTTATGCGACAGCTCTTATTTGCATTAGATGGTCTGCACTCGACTGGGATCGTTCATAGGGATATTAAGCCCCAAAACATTATGTTCTCTGAAGGTGACCGATTTTTTTTATAATTTCTGTGGCAATCTTGTTTTGTCAACTTCATTTCGTCTATGTCAGACATATCGTTTTAAACTTACTCTTAATAAGAGATCAAAAGCAGGTTCCCGTACGTTTAAAATTATTGATCTTGGAGCTGCTACTGATTTGAGAGTTGGCATCAATTACATTCCAAAAGAATTTCTATTGGATCCTAGGTAACATTTTTACATTTTGCAGCATTAGTTTCTGGTAACTCGAGGAATTGCACTGGGAAATCTTATAAAACTACCCTGATGTTTAGTCTAATTACAAAAATTAAGTGGTGAACTTTTAGAATTGCTAAATACCTCCTTAGTGCCAAAACACCTTTTAATGTTTGTATTAGTTAACCAAAGTCAAAGGGGTCTCTTTAGTTTTGGTGGACGATCTTTTGTAATGAGACTACAATATTAGGAGTATGTTCTGTTTGTTATTTGCTTTCAGATATGCTGCACCTGAACAATACATAATGAGCACTCAAACTCCGTCTGCTCCATCAGCTCCCGTTGCAACTGCACTTTCCCCTGTCCTTTGGCAGGTCTTTTTTTAAATTCTCCCTTAAAAAGGCTAGCTTTTGAAAATCTGGGACTCCCATAAATGTAAACATCTGATGCTTTTTTTCTTTTTTTGACACATAACGCCTTCAACCAGTTGAATCTTCCCGACAGATTCGACATCTACAGTGCTGGCCTCATATTTCTACAAATGGTGAGTGAGTTAACTTATTTAAAAATATCCAATTTCAAATATATAGATGAAGATGGTTTCTCTCCATACTTACTACATTACTAAAGAGATTATGTTTTCCTTAAACATCTCAAGGGCGGATCTGTAATTTAACATCCTCACTTGATACTTCCTGCAGGCATTCCCGGCATTACGTACAGACAGTGCGCTTATACAGTTCAACCGCCAACTCAAAAGATGCGATTATGACCTAGCCGAGTGGAGGAAGACTGTTGGGCCCCGAGCCAGCACCGATCTCAGGCGGGGATTTGAGTTGCTGGACTTGGATGGGGGCAAGGGCTGGGAGCTGTTGCAGTCCATGGTCCGGTACAAGGCTCGTCAGAGGACCAGCGCTAAAGCGGCCCTGGCCCACCCCTACTTTGATAAAGAAGGCCTGCTGGCTTTGTCCTTCATGCAAA